CGTGCATGCGCACAGTAGGTAGTCCCTACTATTACACCTCTCCCTCCACCCACCCAGGCGCAGGGCCTTCGGCCTTAGATTTTCTGATTCAAAATAAATCTCACTCATTTTTAAAGCTACCCCTTGAGAGCCCTGATAGCACAGAAATTCGTTTGTGCAGTAATTGCTAAATTGGACTAAGTGACATTTGCATTTCTGATTTTGTGTTGCAGTGGGTTATCCATTCCTCAGAAGCATGCATGTATGCATGCATGCATGCTGTCTGCAATGGCAGGGCTGCCAACATTGGGTGATAGGTGAGAGTGAGATGCGAGGGAGCGAAGCGAACGAGGGGGGTGGGTGTGGGAAGGGGGTTTCCCCCCTCCCACGGTAGGGAGCTTTTGCATTTTATAACTTCAATTTGTGCAATTTGATGCATACTAAAGTGGCTGTTTTCAGATATTGTAAGATTTTTTTGGCTGTGCATGAGATATTCATGCGTGAGATATCTCAGGATTTTTTTGCTGTGCGTGAGATATTGTAAGATCAGCGTGAGAGCGTGAGATTTGGTCAAAATGCGTGAGTCTCACGGTCAATGCGTGAGAGTTGGCAGCCTTGCAATGGTCAGATACTATTTAAACATCTGTGCACAGGGTGTGACGATAGAAATGCACTACCAATCATGCAGGCAGATGAAATGTAATAGTATATAAATATATATCATATATATCTGTAATTAATGCAATTTTCGTCAGGCTTGTCATTGTAAACACGTACTTTTACTTTGTCATCCGACATTATGTGCTCAATGTATAGGAAGGCATATCGTTTCTAGTTGCTATATTGGTAATATCCCGGCTGGCCTACTCCCATTTCGTCTACTCTTAGAATGGGCAATATTCCCATTTCGCCTACTCCCATTTCATCTACTCTCAGAATGGGTAATAGTGCCATTTTATCGTAGATTGATATTACAACAAATACCAGGAGAAATTAGTGTGGATGCCACTCCACTATGTATGCTAATCAAAACCATATATTACATTTATAAATGGTTATTTAGTGGACAAACTGATGGTAGACAAAATGGGAATGGGTGGATTTTGAGTGTAGACGAATTGGGAGTAGGCGAAATGGGTGTAGACCAACTGGGAGTTTTGCTATAGACGAAATGGGAGCAGGCTAACTGGGCATAAACCGCTATACTGTACTATTCAAAGGGAGGCTGGCCTGCAATCTTAGTGTGTATGAATGTCAGATTTTCAACCAAAGATTCAATTGCAACTTCCTAGTTATAAAAGTGTTTTCATGGTCTCTTTCCTGATGGCATTAATTGTGTCTGCCGATGTATGCAGGGTTTCTTTCTAAAACACTGAAAATGTGGGAACTACTACACCCATGTAGTATCCAAACTGCAATATTGAAATAATAACAGATATAGCCATTGCAAACAGATTCGAATGATTATGGTATGCATTTAGACAAGTAATAAAAACAAACAATGTTTTATCTAAATTCATTTGCATAATTATTTAGCTAATTTTTGAGTTATTGAATAAAGTACTTGCAAGCATGTTATTTGCATTATGGTCGTTACGCTATCTTTATATATTACCAGGAGTCTATCAATATTGATAGACTCCTGATATTACTACATAACCATTTACCGTCACAAATGAAATATATTTCTAAATCAGTTTAAATGTAGTTATATTTTATTTTTTACAAGTGATTATAATTGTGAGAAATTATTAATGTATACGAGATTTAATAGGATTTGTTTACATGCAGAGTGTGTATTAGTGAGATCACGGGTGAATAATGACAAATAATCTGTTATTATTCACCCCTGGTAGGATATAATGACTTGATATTCAAAACATCACCATTCGTGAAATATTGTCAATTACTAGAAACACCACAAGTTGGTCCCAGTACTGGATAATATATTGTAGTTATTACATCTATACCACATATATGATATTATATAGAGACCTCGTGACAGGCTCAAAAGATTGATCACCAGTATCTGAATCGGCCTTTTATTTTATACCTAGTTATCAAATGTGATTAATTTTATCGATTGTTAAAAATGTATGTGGGATTAAAATCCAATCAAAAGATATATTGTCAGTACATCTTTTGGTGAGTTTCTTTTTCTAGATCTAGAAATCGCTTTCTGATATAGTTTGTTCCTTAATGCTCGAATCACTTATGTCTTGTACACATTCCACCTTTCCCTGCACACCAATTTGTGTTTGTGCTGTCCTACCTTTTTAACAGAAATGAACCATTCGGCATTCTCTCACCTAATGCAGGGGCATTGTTCCCAGGAAATCCCACATCCCAGCAGGGGTGCAAATCCAGGGGGGGGGACAGGGGGACATGTCCCCCCACGAATTTTCAGAGGGGGGACATATCAAATGTCCCCCCACGATTTTGGATCACCATGATTACCTCCGCGCAAATGGAGGCCATGCAATCGCTCACGCGTGTGTGTGTGTGTGTGTGTGTGTAGCCACCGCGCGATCGATAGCGCGTCGAGTCAGCGGCGGCGGTCACATCGATAGCGCTGTCGAGGTCAGCAGCAGCCCCACTGTGGCGTGAGGCAGCAGCACGCGACGTCATGTCAGCAGCCGCCACAGCGAGCACATACATGTTACATGCTCGCGGAGGTATGCACTCTATGTGAGTGCCCTCTGTCTAGTTTTGTATTGTGTGTGGGTCTGTGCGTTGCGTGCGTGCTGTGCGTGCGTGCCGTGCGTGATACGTAATATTATACTATACTGCGTGGTATAGGGGTGTGGTGTTGTATGTGTGTGTGTGTGAAGTGAGAACTTTTTATCTGGTGAATGTGATAAGTGGTCAAACGATTGCTTCTTCCTCTTTTTTTTCCAGCTTGTCATTTTATTCAAGCTGCATTTGAGAGCGTAATAATGATCATGCAAACTTAAGAAAATGTCTTGATTAAATTGTAGTACCGTTTCTTTTGTAACACGTTTTTTTCTTATATGTTAAATAATTCTAGGCAGAAATCATCAAGAGAAAGATATGTTTATGAAAGTTTAGGAGATAGTCACTCACATTAGACACTGATTCAACGATTAGCTGGAAACACAAGCTATATTCCGAAAGAGGACAATGAGTAACTGAGCATCGGGTTTAATAATGTAATTTTTTTCTTGCAAATTGATGAGTTATAAGTACTCAACCAGTAACCACGATTATATTGTATAATGACTGCGACCAACAATAATTAAATGGAATCCAATTTTACTATTGTGACTCAATTACAACTATACCCCTCAACACAAATGATTGGTTTTCTCGCTTTTTAATTTTCTTGATTTTCATTTGATAGCATTGTAGCGAAGCACCCTTTTCGTAATTCTTAACTTCACAAACCCAAATGTCATGCGTGCGTGCGTGCGTGCGTGCGTGCGTGTGTGTGTGTGTGTGTGTGTGTGTGTGTGTGTGTGTGTGTGTGCAGGGGCGTGTACAGAGGGGGGTCAAGGGGGTCAAGGGGGTCGGACCCCCCCCCCCTGCTCGCGCAGAAAACGCATCTGAGGGGGGTCTAATTTCAATTCCTTGATAAATTCAATATCCTCAAATTTAAGATCAAATTCAATATTTTCAATTCCTCATTTCCCTTCCCCCCAGACCCCCCCTTCGCGTAACTGGTGTCCCCCGGCCCCACACATTTCAAAATGGATTTGCGCGCCTGCATCCCAGTAAAAACGTGAATGGTGAATACGTCTAATGGAAAACATAGGACTCTTTTAAAGCTCTACCGTATGGTTCCAACGAGCCGTGCAACTGACGCTTAACTCTCTAAACCAAGAAACAAGCGGAGATCTACTACAGAATGTAATTCTTATCACGGTTTGCAGTGACAAGTCAACGCGTGGTAAAACCGCATCTACCAAAACCAAATGCTGCGACTGCAGAAATGGTATATAAATAGCAGATTGAAAAGAAGAGTTATGCAATTGAAAAGCCTGCAATAGGAACTAGGAAGTGGATTACTGTATTACATATATATATATATATATATACACAATTTCTAGTGTTCAGCACATTTGACATATATTGTCTTATGCAGCTTTTTGAGCAAGAAAACCTTTTATCCACCAACAGCAGCAACACAAACCCTAACTGCTTCACATACAGTGTTAATGTTCGACGTGTAGGAAGGCCACATGAAAATATCGTCCAAACTAAAACTGGACAGTAGGGGGTCAAAGGTCAGGGGTTAATAGAGAAGATTTCCCAATTTCCTTTTTAACCAAGACAGTATAGATATCGTTAAAACGCACAACTGTGGTACAGTAGCCATCTGATGGGCATATGGCCACTTTGTGATACGAGTTCATCTCTCGACATTATACTAAATAAAAGTTGCAAGCGAATAATTTGTTAATTATAAGTATATATATGACTCGTCATGCATGCACAATATTTTCTACAATAAAATTTATCATAGGATAGATCTGCTGGTATCCATAAATCATGTTTGAATATGTTTTAACAAGATAAAATAGTAAAAGACTCATTTCAAATTTCCAGTACAATGAGCTTTTAGAAGGCATAGTTTGGCTCAAATTCTCAATCACACTGACACATTTATAAATATTTTAAATATAATATCACTTGACCATAGCTATATTACATGAATACAATCTTTTAATAATTAATAACAAATGAGTAGTAAATATCCATTTTGTAGAATTTAAACACATTAACCCATGAATGATACATAAATAACCCTACTACTTCACAAATTTATATTTACTGGCGCTCATAAGGTCTATGTCCCCCAGGGTACTGCCGGTTCGTACCCTGGGTACGGTCCGGTATACCGGAACGTACCCTGGTAACTATCTGATATGGTTAGGGTTAGTGTTAGGGAGTAGGCGTAGGCGACTCCCTAGACTCGTTAGTGGAGTAAGCGAGGTATGGTCCGGCATATTAGATAGTACCAGCAGAGCATATAAATCACGTTGATTTATATGCTCTGGTACCAGGGTACGTTCCGGCAGTACCCTGGGGGACATAGACCCTCTCAGTTTTACTGGCAATACGAGTACTACTGCTGCAGCCTACACCTATGAGTACATGCAAGTACTCATTAAGAACAACTCTCCAAATCTGGCTGAAATGGCAACATGCACAGTACTTCATTAAACCTTTCGAATTTGATAACTTTATAGGGTTCCTGTACAGGTACGGGAGGTATGTATATATATATGAGCCCTGCAACTACGTCACTGGTTTAGATTATTCCAGGCAGCCCACCTAGCCAAATAATTTTGGATACATGTAAATGCACTATGAAATTGAATCACAAGATCCTGCTCTAAAAATCCACCTTTCTCGAATTATAATTATTAAAACTGTTAACACATATTCACTAATGAACATTAGAAACTTATCAAAATTCCTCTGAAACGTAGTTGTGACTACTGCTTTACAACATTTTACTACAAATGGTTCAGGGCTCAATGATTAGTATTAGCAGTAGCTATCTATTTTTACAAAATTATCATCTGTGTTTCAAAAATAATGATGTATTTCATAAAAAATATAAATTTAAGCAAGTGTATATATATATATTATTTTAAGCAAGTGTAATATATTATTTGATATATTCAACTACACAGAACATTGACCACGGGCTGTGAAATTCCATGTTTAAACTGAATGTTTCAAGTCTCAATATTATTGCCATTTATGCACAGACATGGCAAGGAGAGAGGTGGTAACTGAAATTTGTATTATGTTCTAGCTAGACATCAAATATGGTGGAGTAAACTATAACAATGCGTCAGATGTCACCTGCAAGTCCTCTATACGTGAACAAACTACCTATGAACCAGGCTATTATTATTTTTCCAACCAGTGACTCAACTAGTCTCACCTTTCCACTTAAAAGCTTTCACTATCTTGGTACTTTTCGCACTCCTGTGACAACGTGCTTGAATATTCTGCATCCATGGTATCATTGTAAGCGCAAGTGTTACCAACTGTGTAGTCGTCACACGAGCCATTGTCCCAAAACTCCGACTTGACTACTGGTGCCTGCTCTACACTAGTGCTTGGACCCTGCAAGTCTGCTCCATCCTCACCTGCTTTTTCTCTTTTCCTGTCCATCTCCTCAGCGAACTGCTTCACCTCCACAGGCACAATGCCTTCGTCCAACAGTTTACACTGCTTCTTCAGAGGCTGCATTTCGCTCTTGAGGACGTTTACGGCCTTCTCCCTGCTGGCAACGAGTTCCTCTAGATATTGATAGCGCAGCTTCTTTCGCGCGCGGCATTCACGGGCACTCTGTCTGCTGCGCTCCAACTTCGCTATTTGGTCTACCTTCACTGGCTTGCGTCCTCGTTTCCCAGTCATTGTGTTCATTGAAGAACCAGCATGAACCAGTAATGCACTCTGCACATACCACTGGGTAATTATACGTAGGGGCAGGTTGGATGGTCCATTCTGTTTCACTAGTTATCGAGACTGCATTGGAAATATGAAGTGCACCATGCGACTGCAGCGTTCCTTACTCACGATGCTGTCACATATATCTGAAAAAGCACGATGTGTAGTCTCAAAAAGAGAAGTAGACATTGTCAAGACCACTGTCTGTGCTATGCAAGTAAAAGAAGTTCATTAATTGTCTGCAGAAGAAGAAGACAAGACTGGTGAATTGCTTGTCGGTGACTGGTCAAGTAATTTAGGCCAATTAGGTTTATCTATGCTGAAAAGATTGCCTATGATCCCACACTTATAAGATGAACATGGAGACAACCAAAACCTTGTCATTGTGGATGGCAGTATTGTAACATGTGTTTTGCACGTGTTGCATGAGTTAGTCAGCGAGGCTATACTAGTGGTTGTTTTAGGCATAGTCTATCTAGACACAGCGTCATGCATCTTGTTGCAGCTACATTGATGTCTTAGGGAGAATTGTAAACGTGTTTAGGTTAGGCAGATTCTAGGGTCATTGTGAAATGGAGGTAGGACGCGGTCTGGGAGAACGGGTACATGTGCGTGCAGTATGTTTGTAGGAGTTTTGGGGGGAATATATAGAACAGAGATGTAAGAGTAGGGGGGATTCTGGTTCTGGTCGAGGAAGGAGGCACACGCGCGTATGGGCGTGTGCGCGTTCTTTGTCTCTTTATGCGATGTGTCTACACTGTATGAGTTATTAAAGATTATTCCGGTTACTACAACAAGTTTGGATTCTTCTACTTCATCATTTCTACATGAACACGCATTCCAACGTTACATTTTGGCGCCGTCGACAGTCAAAAAACCTGGGTATTCCTTTGCGGAGGCAACGTAAGGTACTACCTACTAAGTACTATATCGATCTACGGACCATACACAAGGAAGATGGAGAAGGAAGAACGACGGAGAGCAAGACGCGGGAGAGAGAACGGTGGATCAAGGAAGATGTAGAAGGAAGAACGACGGAGAGCGAGACGCGGGAGAGAGAACGGTGGATCAAGGAAGACGTAGAAGGAAGAACGACGGCGAGCGATCGACAGAGACGAAGAACGACGAGAGCGAGACGGGAGGAACAGAGCGAGACGCGGGAGAGGGAGTGGTGAATACACACGGCGTGAGAACTATCTGAGTAAGTCAGCGTGAAGGAAGGAACGGCCGGTGTTGTATTCGTGATACTGCAGTGAAAGTCCGAGTCTCGACCTGTGTGTAAGAGAGAGAAGATAGCAGAACAGAGAAGGCAAGGCTGACAGAGCAGAGCGAGAGGACGTGAAAGATAAATTGCAAACTGTAATGGCTAAAAAAATAATAATCCAAGGAATTCTAGAATTTAATTGGTGGAAAGTTTTAATCTCGTGCTGTCGAAACTGGACGTGAAAGGGTGACTCACATCACCAGGAATGTATATTTTTATCTGTTTTTCTTTGTTTTATGTACCCTGATATATGCTTGTCACCGTTTTTTTTTTTTGTGGAAAATCTTTTGAGTGAAACTTTGTTTAGAAATTTGTCATCGGTTTCTTGAATTTGTGCTAACCAGTAACGGTACGTTTACACTATATATTGTCAGACTGCTAAAACACATTCTTCAATTAGAGTTTGATATAGGCCTAAAACATTTCATCGAAAGTATGAAATCAGTTTTGCGTATTTTTGTTGGCTGTATGATGTGTGGAAGTGACAAAGGTTGTCAGGTCCACGTCGGTGCTGTGTATTAATGCCCCTGTGTGCATGGGCTGTGTGCCCTGGGATTATGAGGATATAATCAGGCTCCTGATATAAGGGAGCACATGGCTGGAAACGTGGTTTCCGTAATGCGTGTCGGTACACGCATACGCCACGTACGTTACAGCACAAAAAGACGCAAGAGTGAGAGTAATTGCAGCGATATCCAAATGTTCACTGCCAAATGTGTTGAGTTTCCGACTTGTATTGTGATCGAACTTTATCGTTACTTGTTTTCTACGCTTCATATGTGTTTTCTTATTGTATTTTGATTGTTGTTATGTTTGTGTATTGATTGTGGGTTGTTTAATCGGACAGAAAGACGTTTCTCTCGTGGGGTTGAGTTAGGAAAGTATTAGGGTAGTAATTTTTTGGAATTGTTTAGGTTTAGGTTGAAGTGTAGATGAGTGAGGACGCTGAATCGATGACAGGGTAGTCATCGTTTTGGGGAAAAGGGATAATGTAACATGTGTTTTGCACGTGTTGCATGAGTTAGTCAGCGAGGCTATACTAGTGGTTGTTTTAGGCATAGTCTATCTAGACACAGCGTCGCGCATCTTGTTGCAGCTACATTGATATCTTAGGGAGAATTGTAAACGTGTTTAGGTTAGGCAGATTCTAGGGTCATTGTGAAATGGGGGTAGGACGCGGTCTGGGAGAACAGGTACATGTGCGTGCAGTATGTTTGTAGGAGTTTTGGGGGGAATATATAGAACAGAGATGTAGGAGGAGGGAGATTCTGGTTCTGGTCGCGGAAGGAGGCACACGCGCGTATGTGCGTGTGCGCGTTCTTTGTCTCTTTATGCGATGTGTCTACACTGTATGAGTTATTAAAGATTATTCCGGTTACTACAACAAATTTGGATTCTTCTACTTCATCATTTCTACATGAACACGCATTCCATCGTTACAGTATTTCTGCAAGCACGCTCTTAGTACAATCAAGGGAAAGTAGACATTAGGATGTTTCAGCATGTGCTCCATGCTTCCAGGAACAAATTCAACAGAATCCCATAATTACAATGCTGCTACAGGATGTGAAATAAACGTTCTTTATCTGGTAGGCAACCGGATAATTAGATTTTATATTCTGGTAATGCGTGAGAAATTCTGGCAATGATTTTAGATGAGAAGTAGAATCTTCAAATTTAAATTGGGAACTATACAATTCTTAGGTTACTATGTATTGTTAGTATGTTTGTTCTTCATGTACTCTGTCTTGTTACTAAGTATGGTATTACTCTATTTATCATTTAGTTTTTGTCACTGAGCAACTGTTTCGAACTTTGATCCTCTTATCTGTGAGTATAGTCCCCCGTGCTCTACTACATATACAAACTGCAGATTAAATTGTGAAATCCCTTTTGAGCAGACATACAGTCAGTAAGTTAAGCTGTTATTCATGGTTATGATACACAGGCCTAGGGGCCTTTGGCCTGGTTCATATATGTATAACATACAGGAATATTTGCCACAAGCTCCTGTACTACGACACGGACATAAAATACCTGAGTATATCTACTAGCGCTGATAGGGTCTATGTCCCCCAGGGTACTATCGGAGGGTACCCTGGGTACGGTTTGATATATCGTAAAGTACCTCGGGGTACTATACGATATGTCGCTGCGTACCCTGCATTGTCCCACCGTACCCTGACTTTCAGCCAACTGATGTCGTAATACATACACTCTGTCAAGTTACCACATCACATAGAAGAATCCTCAAAACATCGCAATCCAATAAAAATGTATGCTATGTTTGACTATATTTTTCTTTTTCCTTTTTTTTAAACAAAGAGCTAGCTTTTATATTTTAGTTTTACAACATCGGAAATACATCGGTTACAAGTCAGGGTACGGTGGGACAATGCAGGGTACGCAGCGACATATCGTATAGTATCCCGAAGTTACTTTCCGATATATCGAACCGTACCCAGGGTACCCTCCGATAGTACCCTGGGGGACATAGACCTTATCAGCTCTACTATCCCCTGACTGACTACATCAGTATAGCATTGCCAGTGCAGCCCCTTCACTCCCTGTAGTACACTGGTAGACCTAACATTAGTACCACAGGCACTTGGAACGTTTCTATAATAAAATGATGGTGAATAAACACGAAATGTATTTACTACCAAAGTCTCAATGTTTATGTATTCTCTATTGACTAATAATTCCACGTAAATGTCGTTTAAAAAAATGCTCCTCTGCCAACAAAGAATTTTACCCCACACATGTCACTGTGCACATACTCACAGGAAGATAGAGCAGGTGTGAAAAAACAGGAATGTAAATGGGTACAAGTGCGTGTTTATACATGTAATGACGATGCATTGCATTCTGGGTTCAAGCGCTCCCAGTTTGCGAGCTCCACATATGCCTCCAAGCTCAGCTGACATGATTCATGAATGAATGATGTCACACACACGATTACGTTCATTGGCAAAACAATCGAGTAGCGCGGTTAGAGAGTTTTGAATAATAAACAGGCACTTGCTCCCACTGACATTGCCATGGAATGAGAATTCTTCTCGGGAATTTACTAGATTTCTCTAGGTAAAGTGTGTGATACCATATTGCAAGAGTCACCAGAATGGAGGCGGTCGTTTGTGTATTTGTGCTGTGAAGATGTGAAATGAAATGAGCTCATTTGGTGCTCACGCTTTCCCACCTGCTCTATCCTTCTGTGAGTTTATGCACAGTGGGATGTTTGCAGTGAAATTGTGTGCTGTAATTTCTGTAAGGAGTGTCTGTACTGCATTTACGGTACTTTTACCGATAATAGGCGAAAGAGAATAGAAAAGAGACTTTGGTAGTAAACACATTTCGTGTTTATTTACCGTCATTTTATCATTGAATCGTTCCAAGTGCCAAGCAGTAGGCTGTCAGACTGTGTACACGTGTGACTGGCACTGCCTGTGATGACCGTCATTACTCGTGTTGAGTTTTGATATTCAGTGCTGCCATCTACTATAGGTTGTACGTAATACCTAATCTTACTGAAGAGCTAGTCTTCCTGTAGATATGGCGACTGTGCTGTTAACACGTTTTTTTCTTACAAAATAAATACCAATTTAGATCAAACTTAACAGGTTATGGGCCCAGGATCGTGATTCTGTGCAGTTAACGGCTCAGTTGTTTTTGTGAATGAGCTTCAGCATTGTATTGCATTGTGGTATTGTTGTATTTCTGGCATTGTGGTATGATGCTTCATTGCTTGGTAATACTGTATTCGGACAATACTATGTGTATGCAATTGGCGTGGTGAATGGAATTGCTAGTGTTCGTAACGGTGAATTCTTATCGGTAAAAATGATGAGTGATGTTACGATGCCTAGGTGGAATATTCGCCAGCTGGAGGGACGGTCCTTGAATGCAAGGTGCTCGACACGTTGCACAAGTCGTTCTTTGCATTCAAATCGAGCTGTGGTGAGGACAGAAGCCATCCAACAAGCATCTGCGTGTGATCGGAACGAAGTGCTACGTGCATGTGCCGGACGAACAACGCAAGAAAATGGACAGCAAAGTGGTCAAGGGATATTTGATCGGATACGACAATGATAACGGTTATCGAGTCGTAAAGGTTCACAGCAGTCGCGAGATGATGCGGTCGCGCAACGTGAACTTCGAGATCGAACCGTGTGCGCAGTCGAGTGCAGTGCAAGTTCCGGTTGTGTCGGAGCTAATGGAGGCGCCGGAGACGGAGTCAACGAGTGAAAGTGAGTACGATAACAGTGAGGAAAGCGAAGATGAGGTAGACGAGGAAGCCATGCCAAAGCAAAGCGGTAGGGAGCTTCATGATCGTTTGAAAATTCGCCTGCCAGCTCATCTCAAGGACTTCGCAGTATCAGACACGAAAAATGTCGCCGCGTCGGCTTGGTGTTCCGTGATGTCGGTAGAAATGGAGCCGACAACGTTCTACAAAGCTGAGCGTGCATCCAACGGCGACAGGTGAAAGATGGCGATGGAGAGTGAGATGGACTCGCTTGCTCAAAATGGTACCTGGGAGCTGGTCGATCTGCCGAAAGGTCGCAAAGCCATCGAGACAAAGTGGGTCTACAAGCGAAAGTTGAATCCGGATGGGTCGATCGACAAGCACAAGGCACGACTCGTCGTCAAGGGTTTCGCTCAGCGCAAGGGTGTGGACTTCAACAACATTTTTAGTCTGGTGGCCAAGTCGGGCACAATCCGGATGATGCTCAGTGTCGCTGCGAACGAGGGTATGGCTTTGATGCAGTTCGACGTGTCGACGACGTTCCTGTACGGTGAACTAGATGAAACAATATATGTTCAACAACCAGAAGGCTACGTGGATAGTTCGGGCAAGGTGTGCTTATTGAAGCGGAGTCTGTATGGACTGAAGCAAGCACCTCGGTGCTGGAACATGCGATTTGGCTCGTTCATGGCCAAGCGTGGTTTCCGGGTCAGCAAGGCGAACCCGTGTCTCTTCATCCGAGACAACAAGCATGGGAAGCTGCTGTTGGCACTGTACGTGGACGACAGTCTCATCACGGCAGACAATGATGAGGCGGCATTGATGTTCATTGACGAACTGCGGGATGAGTTCAAGGTCACCGTGAAGCCAGCGTCTTATTATCTGGGACTCGAGATAGAGCGACGTGAAGATGGCACTGTCAAGATTGTTCAGGCGGCTTACGCGAAGAAAGTGTTGGAGCATTTCAACATGGAAAACTGCAAAGCTGTGACGACGCCGATCGTCAGGGACGGTACGGGACAAGAGGAAGCTGTTAACAATGAGACTGCTTTCCCGTATCGGTCGGCAGTGGAGGCACTGCTGTATCTGGCGGTTGGTACTCGGCCGGATATTTCCTACGCCGTGAGCATCGTGTCAAGGACGCTTGAGTCGCCGGAGCAGAGTGACGTGCAGCGGGTGAAGAGTATTCTGCGCTATCTGCGTGGGACAGTGAACGTCGGCATCGAGTATAAGCCGAAGTTCAAGAGCGGTGTGCTGGAGAGTTTCAGCGATGCGGACCATAGCGGGGATCTGTCGACGGGACGTTCGACAACGGGCGTTGTGTGCCTGTTAGTGCTGTGCGTCGGATCCGACATGAACCAAAAATCCGATCCGACAGCATTTTTGAAAATCCGAATCCGAATCCGAATCCGATGGCTATTTTGAATTCCATCCGAATCCGAATCCGGTGGCAATTTTTGAATCCGAATCCGATGTGTATCGCTAAATCCGATCCGAAATCCGATCCGAAATCCGATCCAAAATCCGAACCGAATCCGGAACATAGAAATTGTAAATAGTGTGACAGCATCGAGTAAAATTCATGTTATAATTTGTTTCAACATCAAACTTTGGGTTGTTGAGATCAAGGGATAGGGTGAAGGGGGACTGTAGACGTAAGAAAAGTTAGAGAACGGGATGATCGGGAATCTGAAACGATAATCCATCCAACGTTGGTCCAACGGCTTTTCGCAGAGCATGCCTGATCCCTCTGGTTCTCTCTCTCTGTCACACACAACCCAAACACGCACACCTCTCTCTCTCTCTCTCTCTCTCTCTCTCTCTCTCTCTCTCTCTCTCTCTCT